CTGTTGACACCTTCCGGAGCTCAGATACCTTTCCATACAAACATTATCAGTGCTGACTTCAGGTGACAAACATTCCTGGCTTCCCTTCATAACTGGAAGTCTGAATCCATGTCCCAAAGATGTAAAGGGCAGTGAATCATGTAGACATGACTGAATCTGAACTGTTTTGGGCTTCATTTCTGAAGCACTGAGTATGTATTACTACCAGTAGTCATAATTCTTTGTATTCCAGTTGACTGGGTTACTGTTAACATCACCTGTGAGTTGACAATCTTTTATCTAGAGCTCCCTGGATACTTCACAGCCAAAGTCATGCCATGGTGTGGAATGTGGCTTTGAAATCTCAACTGGTGGTACTGATGGAGTGCCTTAGTCCTCCAGTTTGAGGCAGATTCACAAGGGAGCTATGATTATCAGCACTACTTTATTTCACCTTCTCCATCCTCTTTTCCAATCTCATTCTGAATGCATGAAGGAGTGCAATGCTCCTTCTCTGTCTAAGCTATGATCACTATTGTGCCTTTTGTGAGGGCAAGTCCTCTAAGTCATTAAGTTGCTTGATTTTTCTGCTTTCCACCAGGCTTTTCAATTGTACTGTTAAAATCCTGTTCCTGCTGTCCTGCTGTCATTTGAACTGTTGCGACAACTCTTAGGTGATGAAGCCAGTACCCGCAAAGGTCTGGGTTTTTTCAGTGGGAACTATCTGTGCTCAGATTGAGACTCAGCTCATACAGGAGCCGTACAACGTGTCTTCTCCTTAGATAAAAAACAGCTGTAGCATACAAGCAGTAGGAAAGGCAGCATGAAATTAAAGTTGTGGCCACAGTGGCTTTGCATGATGTTTTATGCCAAGACACACAAAAGCAATGGTTGTTCTTCCAAACTTCTATTTGGAAGGAACCATAGCAAGGACTAGGTTTCAGGTTTCTGGATCATCTGGTGTCCCAGCTATATATATATATTTGTGATTCGTTGTGCTTGCTACTGTATCTTCAAAAAAACCCTTCAAAAAATCTTCCAAAAAAAAAAAAGTCAGGGAGAGAAGCCTGAACACACCGTACTCACCTACCCTGACATTTACTTTCCAGTGCTATTAAAGATAATGAACGATTACATAGTTTAATTAGCTGTCCCCTGCACATACCTGCTGGTCCCACCATGGAAAGCCTAGGTCTTTTCCCAGCAAGTTGCCCCCTACATCCTTGATTCAAAGTCCATTGTGATCTGCCGGTGTTTCCTGTGGACTTCCTGTTGTACAGTGTCCAGATAGGTTGGGGTTTAAACCCAGATCCCTCAACTCTGCCATAAGTTGCTGTCATCCTTATAAATTTATCCCACCAAAGGAAGTGTGCACAGTTGGTAGAAAGCTGCTCAGAGCTTTTGTGACCTGTGACTTTCCGAGTACAGCATCGAACATAAGGGGTGTGTTGTGCTCCGAACACTGATAGGAAGCATTGGAAGTGTCTGGAAGTGGGTCGATTTGTTACTGCAGTGTCTGAGGCCAGAGAGGTTCTGCAAAGCAGAGTAAAATGCTAGGTGCTTTCTCAGGGTTTTTTTTTTTTCCTTCTTCTTCTCTATGAATCTGTGTGGCTAGAGAATGATTTAAAATGACTCTTAAAATCTAAAACCAATGGCAAACTTGTCATGAGCTAACTTCAAGTCAGCATCACTGGCCTTAGGAAAAACTTCAAGGTATCTGGAATAAATATTTCCCTGTCAGTAAGCCAAAGGTAGACATGAACCAAACACCCTGCTCTTAACATCCCTTCCCTCTTCCCTTCCCGATTTGCTCAGCTTTGTGAGCTTTATAGCACAAGTCAGATCTTGCTGCGTTTACTTTTATTTTGATCCCTTCTTGTGCCCTGTAAATCACTTATGGCCAGAGACCTCTTGGCTCTTCTGAGAGACTGCAGAGGCTTTGGGTGACATGAGGAAGAGATGTGCTGGCCAGAGGCTTGCTCTGGATTCCGCGTCAGATGGGGAACCAAGGGAGAAGAAGGAGACAGGAAGTCGTGGTCAGCTCAGCAGACAGGGAGGGTGGCTGTCATACAGGGGGGTGGGAGCAAGGCGGGTTTATCCAAGTTTAAAACGCCAGAAGAGAATGTTAAATCCACTGAGACTGGCTTTTAACCGATACGAGATTAGGCTTGGAATGCAGAAAAACAAAAAGGAGGTGATACAGTGAAAGAAGAGGGAGCAGGAGATGATAGGAAATAAAGCCTGCATTATTTTGAACAAAAGAATAAGGTACCAGTGCCCTGCACGTCTCAAATCTCCTTCTTTATCAATATCCTTTTTTTTTATGGGTTCAAGATAAAGTTGATTAGAGCCATTTGGCAAGATTAAGTGGTGTTGTCAAGCATGCTGGAGACTCCTATCCATAGGCCATATATATGTATATGAATAAGGAGCTGTTTGCATGATTGATCTAATAGGCTGAAATCCAAAGATTTATACCAAAGAAAGTATCCCATGGGGAAACGGGATATTTCCTTTATCCCAAGGGCCAATCCCAACAGTTACTCTTCAGATACAATTCTCTTCTGATTGTAAGTGAGACCTTGATCAATGGGGTTTGCAGAAATGGTGTGAAAGCTGTACCTTGGTGGGGCTGTTAATACAGAGACCTGGTAGGGCTGTTAGCATAGAGCGGTGTAGCAGGAGTAGCTCTTAACAATTTTCATCATCCTCTACCATGTCAGATACCAGTATGCTGAAGGATTGACCCCTGTGATGAATCTTCTAAAGGAGACTTTCTTCCTTTAGTCACACCTGAGAAGCTGAAATTATTTGCTTCATATAGCCCAGGAGTAAGGGCACTCACTGTTGATTTTACACCTCCAGTCTAGGCTCTCCACAAGTTCCTGTCTTGCCTGCAGAGCTTTAGGGGAAGACCTGCCTTTGTGTGGAACTTGCCTGAAACAGGCTGCTTTGCTCTAATGTCCCAACACTTTCTTTTCCTCATCAGCTGTCGTGGTTTTTGTGGTGAATGCTCTGGGAATAACAGCTGGAGCTCACCGCCTCTGGAGCCATCGCACCTACAAAGCCACACTGCCCTTGCGAATCTTCTTGACCATTGCAAATTCTGTGGCCTTCCAGGTAAGCATCTTCCTCATGCTGTCAGTCCTCAGAAGAAAGCACTGTCCTGAGTCCATGTGTCAAATACTAGGCACAAGCTGAAGACAGGTTCCTCTTGCCTGCTACCTCTTGTCAAGCAACAACCTACCCTTTCCTCCTGACACTCCAGTGCTGGAGTCTGCCTCAGTGTCCTCACCTTGTCCCTTGAAAGGGTGACTCTGGGACAAAGCTTCCTAACAAGGTGGGGAAGACTGCTGGCCAAGCCCAGGGGTAGGAGAGCTCTCCAAAGCATGAATGTACCTTTCCCTTGGGGTGCGGTCTCCCCCTGCTTGTTCTCAGGCCCTTTGAAGGACATGTAGAAGTGTCAAGTACTCTCCTGTTGTTCGAGTTGCCTCGCCTTTTCCTCGCTGTACTGGCAATAACGGGGCAGGGGAGCATCTGCACATTTTGAGAGCAATTTGTAGAAATTGCTGCTGTGGAAGGACCAAGCACTTGTTGGGATTATGCATTTAGGGCATAGTTCTGTGGCTAGTAAGAATAATGATAGCTAATAACATGTTGTTAGCTTCTGCCACCAGCTTCCAGAGTCATCCCAGGGCAATGCCATTCCAAGGAGAGAAGGGTTGGGCCCATTCAGAGTGGCCGGAGTGACTGCAGGCAGCTAATAAGCACCTTAAGATATTGCCTAACCACTCATGAGGAGGCACTTCACGGTTTATGAAGCAAGCAAACCAGGAAGCTCTTAGAGACTGTGGAAAGTAGCAGAGGTGGCCCTTTAGTTGAAGCTACAGTGAAAACTCAAATTGGATTGGTGCAGAAAAAAAAAACATGGAGATCTCCAATGTCTGCTTGTGAGAGAGAGCTCCCAGCACTCTGTCCTCCAGCTGTGCTCAGAAAGGCTTTGTACAGTCTTGCTAATGTCCTAGGAAGTGCACAGGAATGTGGCAGGGTGAAACACCTTTTGCCAGAAGACGGTGCACAAAAAGGGGTCAGTGCTATGCCCTTAACTGATTTTTCAGCTGAGTTGGGGCAGAAGAGTAAAGTCCAAGAGGACCAGGTATTTCAGAGACATCATCTGTTTCTCTCCACTGTGTAGCCGTAGAGGATGTCATTTCATTGTCACAAAATCAGAATAGGGTATAGATGCTTTTTTCCAGCCTTGATTTTTTTTTGTGAAACATCAGTCACATTCCTATTCCCTGTTAGTACCAAACCAGAGTGTTTCATAAGAAACAGGAAGGACCATGCTGCTGATTCCAGCTACTGATCACAAGCAAAGCAAGGAAAGAGGACAGGTTACTGGGTATTGGCCCGTCCTACACAAAGACTGTCTTTTGCAGGGTTGTAGGGCAGAGGGGGAATTTGCTGAGCTATTGCTGTAGGGGATAAGGATAGACAAAGATGTGAGATGGACAGATATTTCAGCTTCAATAGCAACTAATCCAAAGTTTTACTGAAAATTCAATACCATGCCCCATGGATTTTTTTGCTAATAGTTATTTTCAATGAGATCAAAAGGTTTATTCTGAATTTACCTCATTGCCATTAGTAGCAGCCACTCTAAAATCTATCTGGTAACTTTTAAAGCCAAAGAATACCATAAATTATCTTATCTGAGGTTCTGCAGAGAACGCCTGCTGGCTGCTGAAGTAGTGGCCAGTGACTTGTGCTTTCAGGGAGTTCAACAGTTCTGCCATATGGCAGCTCCTCTGCCTGCAAGACCATGTAGCTGCAGCACAGCAGAAGCTCCTCTGGTTGTACCCTGTAGTTTGAAACTCCTGACAAAGGAGGAGTTCTCCTCAGGCCTGCAGGCTAGTCTGATAAAGCCATGATTTTCAGACAAGGTCCCAGTTAGAGGTGGCCCTAAACTAAGATCTGTAGAAATTCAATGTGTTAATGTTTGGGTCAAGATCCTAATTTTCAAGCCTCTGATTTATGAGTGTTTATGCACAGGTCGTGATGGAGGAGGTGTTATCATTCTCCAGCTACCATGCCATTATCCAACTAGTACATGGTCTCTTTCCAAATTTGTGCCTTCTAATTCCAGTGAAAGGATTCCAGGAGACAAAGAAGGCATCCCCACATGGGCAAACTCAAGATGTCCAGTATCAGGCTGGGATTTCTCAAGTTACTTCATGCTATACAGGGTCTGGGATGTGAAAAAGACTTAGCATCACAGATGAAATCTTTCCAGCATGTGTACTGACTATGCTTCTCTGCTTAATGGATGGGGAAGACTGCTGAGCCCCTCTCTTTTGGGGGATGCTGAGTGACCAAGTTGCAGTTAACAGCAGTGGGGGCTTGTGATTCTTGGATGTGTTCAGGGTGCGCTAGAAGAAAGGAAGGCAACAATTCTCAGTATTTGAATAGAAGCGAGAGATGACTCCTGGTCCACGTTTATCACTGTCTCATTGCATGGCTCATGCAATCATTTCTTCTCAGTTGAAGGATGAATGTCTGGTGGCTATGGCACTAGAGAACAAGTCAGGAGGAGTTCTGGCTCTGCCACAGGTTCCCTGTGTGGATATGGACGAGTCACTTAATCCTGGAAGGCATAAGATAGAGATAATTGTGCTGCTTCCCTGCCTTCTAAGTGCTTCGAGGAAAAGTCCCATGTGCTTATGAGATTAAGGAGCCTCTTGTAGAGTGCAGAAAATAGGAGAATGTGTGGATTTCAGTTTGCTGCTTTCTAGGTCAGGATAATACATGGCTTTTAGCAGATTGAAATCTTGGTATAAAGGAATGAGCATAGGGGATTAATTTAGATGCGATTCTTAAAACTAGACAAAACAATCATTTCTTAATACAAATGATGAAAACTTCAACATTTTTCAAACTATTGATTTTGTAGCCTGAACTGAACTCTTCAAGGGGTGGAAGGGTGGATTATTTTTTGATAATTGTCATTGAAATTGTGTGTTTATCCTATTTCAAAAGAGAAAATAATTTTTAGAGCATTTGATTTTTAAGAAAAAAAAACATTTAAAAAAACTCATCCCCAGCTAAACAGTACCATTTGATTTGGCAATTCTAGGGAAGGTGAGGGCAAGTTGACCCATAGAAAATGTCAAAGCAGAGGGAAGGGGCAGAAATGACCAGTCTCGGCTGGCACAGAAAAAGGGGACAAGTGACCAATCAGAGCCGAGTATCTGAGGGCGAAGACAGTGTCTGGCCAATTAGGTCTGGCTGCTGCAGGGGTAGGGGGAACAGAGTGACATCAAAGCTTTTTTTTTTTTTTTTTTTTTAATGAGTAGAAAGAATGATCACAAAAAAAAACCCCACAGATTTTGAAGAAATAAAATAGTTGAACAAAGAAGGTCCAACCTCTTTGTTTAAAAAGACCCAAAAAATCCACGAATCCTGAAGAGAGTTAAAATGGCTAATGTGCGCTAAGGTCATGGAATTTAGGTGCTTTAAATGTGTTAGGCTCTTTTGTTCATTCAAAGAGAGCATTACACCCTACCCTGACTCTCTGTTCCTGTTGCCTTGCAGAATGACATCTACGAGTGGGTCCGAGACCACCGTGTTCACCACAAGTTCTCCGAGACAGATGCCGACCCTCACAATGCCAAGCGGGGCTTCTTCTTCTCCCACGTCGGCTGGCTGCTGGTGCGCAAGCACCCCGATGTCATAGAGAAGGGCCAGAAAATCGACCTGAGCGATGTCAGGGCTGACAAAGTGGTGATGTTCCAACGGAGGTGAGCAGTGAGGGGTGCCCCAGGCCGAGCTGGTGTGCAATGGAGTGGGGACCCTGGAAGTGGGCCAAGCTTCCTGCTGTCAAATACCTGCATAACTGCCTGCACTCGTCCAGCCTGTCACTTCGGCTGGTTATGAGTCAGCCCATGGGGTGCCTCCAGGCCACTTCTTGGAGATATTATTGACAACAGCCTTCTCTACTCTCCCATCAGTCTCCTGCAAGCAATGTGGTGAAACAGAGGCTGAAAATGGGAGCAGAAGAGAGGCAACCATTGAGAAGGAGCCTTGATTTATTGATGCCTCTTGTGTGGGGTGTGTCTAAGCTGTGAGAGCCGCTGGCCAGGATAAGCCACTGTGCTCAGGGACAGAACTGGGATTTTGGTTGCATGAGCCTGAGCCATGATGGCTTGTCACTTACCCTGTGCCTACTACAAGGGTTCTGTGATCAAGTAAAGCACCTTCCTACATGCATCTGATCCACAGACTTGTTACCAGGACTGTGGGAATGGGAAGCTGAACTTGTGTGGTAACTGTCCTCATTCTGGAGGTCCCTAACTCAGTCCCAGATGAAGCAGGAAAATTTTATAGCTCTCCTCCATTTCGCACCCTGATTTTTTTCTGGCAGCTCATCAGAGTGGTTTGGCTCTCTCCATTCCCATCTTTCCAGTATGAGAAGCTCCACATGTCTGGTCCTTGATGGGAAAAAGTGTTCCTTGCTTGTACTTGCTGTTAGGAGGGTGTATGATACACAGGGCCAAGTCCATAAGGATTTGCAACCTCAGGTCAAAGCCATGGAGGAGGAGCTATGGAGGAGATCTTCTATGGGACTTTCCAGTGTGCGGATACCTTTATGGGACTCCCGCAGAGCAGAGAAGCAAATGGCAGTTTAGGTCAACAGCAGCAGCTGGTGCATGGACTCATGCTGAAAGGGATATTGGATTGTACATATGCAAGACTGAGGCAGGGAAATCAGGAGTTCAGTCTGTCTTCTGTCCAGTGGTAAGACTTGTGAGTCTCCAAGAAGCATTTCTATGCATCCAGAGCAAAAGATGCAAGGGGTAAGGAATTACGTATTTCTATACTTGATTTCTCTGTATTACTTAGGTTAGCATGAATCCTCCAAAGGTGGGATTGAATCAGCTCTTCCTTCCATGCCTCTACCACTAAACTGTTTACTTTTGGTCCCCTTCTTTCCAGGTATTACAAGCCTTCAGTGGTGCTGCTGTGTTTCATGATGCCTGCTGTAGTGCCCTGGTACTTCTGGGACGAATCTATCACCATCAGCTTCTTCATTCCATCCATCCTGCGCTATGTCATAGGGCTCAACGCTGCCTGGTTAGTGAACAGTGCTGCTCACATGTTTGGCAACCGACCATATGATAAGAACATCAACCCACGAGAGAACTCTCTGGTCAGCCTGGGAGCCCTAGGTAAGTTCAGTGTCTGTGTCTTTCCCTGCTTGCAGACTTCAGAGTTGAGGATTGACCCTGTCTACCCTTGGCAGGGCTTCAAATACTTTTGGAGTGGAGCAAAGAAAGCTGCTCCATTGGGCTGACCTAGACACCATTCATCTCTAAAGGGCAGGTCACACTCGGCCAATCTATACTACCCAAAAACCCAGCCCAGGAAGACGTAAGAGTTAATACCTCAGGTGTTCCTCTGAAATGGATTAGCCCTATGAATCCAGATGTCCTCAATTCCCCCTGTACCTCTCCCATCCAGGCCAGCAGCCTTTGCATTCTGGGGATGTTTCCCAGGATGGCTTTTGAGTACACAAGGGCAATGAGGTTATCAACTTGCACCAGTCTCCCTCCAGGCTGGGAAACACTCTGCTACACTTAGCACCTTCTTATCTCAAAAACAATATTTTATTTACCCTGATGCAACGTGTCCCTGACCCATTTACCAGACTGAATATCTTGTACTGCAGTCCCTGCTTATTGCCTTAGATTTATCTAAGCAAAGCAGCAAGTGCACCATTGAACATGTTTTTGGGAGCAGCTGATTATTTTGGGGTGCTTGAGTGTGAGACAAGCCAGATCTCTTGTGTTTCCCCAGAAATGCTATGGAATTATCCCCAAGGTTAGCCTGGCCATCCCAAGATTAGCATTTGCCCTGGATTGTTAGCTGGTTTGCATCACCGCAACACTCTGAACGTCACTGGGACTCCACTGATTCCCACCACTGAAGGATCTGCTCCTGGAATTTTAGTAGGAAGGGATCTGAGCTGCAGAGATTCAGTGAATAGGAGCAATCGTCCAGAGAATGTCCTTGAAGGGGTGAACACCGTGGTCAGCCTTAACCCCCTCCAGAGCAGGGTAGGTCACTTAATGGAAGTCCATCTGCATTACTCCCTTCTGGAGATGCCCTTCAGATTTTGGTATTAGGACTATCTGTGTTACAGGAGTATGGAGTAGCCTCCCCTGGCTTGTCACAGACTCACTGCAGGTCTAGCTGGTACTCATACTGATGGTCTCTTTCAGGAACATGGTGCTTTGGGTCCAGTGCAAGAAGGTCTAACCAAAAACTGTGCAACATTTTCTCCCTGATTTTGTTTTGCAGGAGAAGGCTTCCACAACTACCACCACACCTTCCCCTATGACTACTCTGCCAGTGAGTTTGGCTGGCACTTCAACTTAACCACAGTTTTTATCGACCTCATGTGCTTCCTGGGCCTGGCCAGCGATCGCAAGAGAGTCTCCAAGGAAGTCATCCTGGCTCGAAAAATGCGGACTGGAGAAGGGCGTCAGAAGAGTGGCTGAGTTCCTGCTCTCCTTACACATATATCCACACCTCTCCTTCCTTTTTCCTCCCTTTCTCCCTTCCTGACCCCTCTGAACACGCTGGACAGAGATTTAATGTTCTGTTTACTAACTACTGAATATTGCTACCAGTTTGCTTAAGATAACAATAATGAGTTTTAACCCCTCCCACACTGTATTTTACGTGATGTATTTAAAAACTAGAACTCTGCCTTTATAATGCAAGGCCACCCTTTCCCTCCTCTCTTTTTCCTTTTGTTTTTCTTCTTTTTCCTTCTAGCTCCGCTAGTCCCTCTTTCTCTTTACTTTCATCCCTGTCTTTTCCTGGCAGAGGAGCTAGTAGAAAGTAACCTAGGGTGTCCCCACTGCAGCCGGCTAAATAACATGGAGTTAAGGGAAGTCTGTACCAGCCAGCTGAAGAGTTGAGCCAAAGTCAGTGATTCTCTTTCCCACATGGACCACCCCACAAACTCTCCCCCTCCTTCCTCTGTCCCTCCTCCTTTCTCAAGGGCTGCTGACACTTGGCATCACTAAACTGCTTTCTCTGGGAAAAGCATCCCCGTCCCCTCCCCTTGCCTTCAGAAAGAGAGAGCGTGAAGTTGTCTCTCTCCCCCTTGCACCTCACAGCAGTGGGCTTCTCTGACCCACACAGGTGGAGGTCAAGCTGGGAGAAGCTGGGGAGATGAGATCCCCAAAAGTCTCTGAAGAGCTCCAGGAAGGTCCATCAGTCAGTCATGGGGTACACTGGCAGCTGACAGCACCGGAGGCAGGGAGCCTCAGCGGCCTTATTACCTCCTTAGTGTCACAAGTTCCTACCCATCACTAGCCCGCTGTGCCTTGGGGCTGTGGCTGCCTGCAGAGACTGGATGCAGTACCAGGCACTGGACTCCACATGGCCCTTTAGAAAGCTGCAGAGAGAAGGGCCATACTGGGAGATGGAGGGCTGTGGCACCCAGTGCCTCAGGACTGGGCTGGACTGGGGTAGTTTTCTTCAGATCCTATCAAGATTTTGCCAGCAAATCGGATTTTGCCAAAACAGAGAGAGGGAGAAGGCTGTAAACCAAAGCTCCACCATTGTGTTAAGCTGCTTGATGTGCTAAAAAAGCAGGGTTCCTGATGGGCAGCAATCACATGTCCTTGTGTCCAGTTGTGTCCTATGGACCCCCTGGTACTGAACACAGAGCTGGTGTCACATCTGAATGGTCCAGGCAGCAAAGAACAGCCTAGAAACATAGCAAGGAGGCAAGGGTATATCAGAGAGCTGAGGGAACTGGTCTCTCTATCTCCATGGGCTCCACTCTCTTGATTAACAATTGCCTGCCAAAAAACAACACGGACCAGGTGGAACCGAGAGTCTGAGGGAATTGAGGCCTCCTGAGCAAGATGCTGGTCCCAGCATGGGCCACCTCTGTAATGAGTTGGGGCAAGACCAAGAGAGGAGTTGGAAATTAGTTGTTTTCCTACCTGTGGTCTGCCAACGTGGTTTGCAATTGTTTTTTTTCAGCTCCTCTCCTCTACAGAGAGCCTGGGAGGGGGGAGAGTGAGGGAGAGGGTAGCTCCTTGCCAGTCACTCAACGTGATTTTATGGGTTGGTGCCTGAGGCCATCCCCACCAGTGCTGGAGCAGCAGCAGCGAGTGCTCTCCTCGTAGCTTGCAGCATGGTGGAGAGCCTCTCAGTACAGGGTGACCACCACATTACTTTCTAGCCTGGCAAGCACGCCGCTCACCCCATGACGGCGCATGGCGAGGGCGGCTGAGTTTGCTTAAAGGTCAGTTACCTCATCCAAGGCCCCAAGACATGTGAGGATGCAAGGGTGTGTTGGATTAAAAAAAAAAAATCCTTATGGGCGTTGTTTCCTGCAAGCTGCAGAGACCACAGTTTGAGTATAAACCATGGCTTATGTTCTGGGTGTAGTGGTCTCCAGCCCCACACCAGGCTGAACACAGCTTTTTTTCCCCATTATTTTAGTTTTTATTGTTATTAGCATTAGTATTTTTTTTTTGCTTAAATGCATCAAACGGAGCTGGAGGAAAGCACAAGATATGGCCAAGGGTAGCTGGAAAGATTGGATGTTGTAGCAGGTTTTGTAGCATCTCCTTTGTCTGGGCAGGTAAGGGAAGGCGGAAGCAGAGTAGATTCCAACTTCCTCACCTTTGCTGTGCCATGCCACATCCAGGCAAGTCTTTGGAGCGAGTCTCCACAAAGTTGCTTTCTCCTGCCAACTGCAAAATGCCCCAGGATCCAGGGCAGCTCTGTGATACTCTCCATGAGGAGGAGAACGTACTTGTTCAGAAAAGAAGTCCTCCTCCTCTCCTTTACCCTCTCTGTCACTTCCATGGCCTTGTTACAGCTCATCAGTGGGACTCTGCTCAGTGGTGATGCCTCCGGGATTGATGCAGTTGCTGGCTGAGAGACATAACAGAGAGGGGGCCTTTCAGCACCTGATGTCCCAAACACAGGCAGCAGCAGGAGGCAGCACCCCTGAGCACTGCTATGAGGTTCATGGCAATCCTGGAGCTGTGTGGTGCAAAGGGGGCTGTGGCTACAACTGTATTGCTCTATTCCTCCCCCCAAAAAATCACACAAAAAGAGAAATGCTACTAGCTCTGAAATGTGGACTGACTTTATCTTAGTCTAAACCCCTGTGCAATCATGGAAGTCTCCAGAGAGGATGAATTTGCTCCATCCAGGAATCTGAAAGGCAGGTGGGCAGGGAGAAGGTGAAGAGAATGATTTTCCTGCTCCTAGTGCCCTTAACCTGTAGTGTGACATACTCTGTGACAGAGAAGTGTGCCACGACATGCTGCAATTTTTCACATCCTCTCAGCAGAGAAGCAGGATTTGACATCAAGGGTTCCCTTCAAATTTCAAGTCAAATGAAATTCGACTTGAGATCAAGAGATCTGGAATTAGGGTGGAAACTGAGGAGCAGTAACCAGACAGTCCTGGTGTTTGCCCGGTCACTTTAGCTGGGCAAATATCTCTGGGTGCCTTAATTTTTTCTTTAATATACATAGGAGTATTAACAGCTATTTGCCATATTTCTTTCTTTTTTGTAGAACTACGAACATTCGAGGGGTTTCTTAATTATTTAATTGCCTACGTTGAACTCTGGGTGCAGGTGATTTTGAATGTCCTTGAGTTAGAATTTCTGTTAGATTAAGAAACAGATGCAACACTTTAAGTAGAACTTTGTTAGCTAAATATATATATATACACTTATATATATATTTGGTGGCATGTTTGTATCCTGGACGCGTCCTCTGTATGTTTAGCTTGATTCAGTCTGTGAGAGGTAGAAACAGGAAACATGGCAGTGGGCCCCAGGTGATTCTCCTGGGCTCTGTTTCCAGCTTAGCTACTTGCTCACTACTTGGTATCAGGTAAAGTCACTTAAAAGTGCTCTGTGCCTCAGTTCCAATCTGCATAATGGAGTTGCGCCCTGCCTCCGGGGCCTCGTGCAGATCTGTGTGGAGGGCAGGAGGAAGGAGGTGTAGCAGACACTCACCAGTGCTGCCAGGAGCCCTCACTGGTTGTGTATTCCAAGACTGTTCCCAGCCTCGATGGTGTTGTGAAAAGCAGATGTCCAAGTGTTGGGTGTTTAGGGAAGGACTGGAAAGTTGAATCTGCACATTGTCTAAGCTCTGTCACTAGTGAAACATGAGTAGGATACAATTTTCACAGCTTAGGGATTTCTGCATAGTAGTATCTCTGTTTTGTGTACCGGAAATGAGAAAAAAAAAAAAAACTTTTTGAAGTAATTTCTACTAATATGGAAACAGATGTCTGGTTGTGCTGATCTGAAATTTTATTTGTTCATAATAAAAACATTACTTTAAAACTCTTCAGGCTGATGGTGTGGTGGACCGGGCTCAGTAAAGTGCAAGACTCCCCCTTGGGATGGGGAGAGCTACCAGTTACCATCCTCAAAGCCAGAGTTACCGTCCCAAACCCGCCTCCGGTCCGGGAGAGCTGGGAGATTGGAGAGCAGGGTGGAACCGCTGCCTCTTTAAGCGCACTGAATGAGCAGATTATAATGGCGTTCATACTCCACCGTGCGCTGGCCGTCACGCCTCTGCAAGCGAGAGTGAGCTGTCCCCTTTACGTGGGGTTACTGTAGTTTAATTCCACCCAGGGCCTCTTGCCAAGACTTTGTGGCTGGCAGATCTACATGCAGCATAACACGTAATACCGGCAGCCTGTCTCTGTGGCGGGCACAGCAGGGCTGTGCCACAGGAGTTCATTAACCTCAGCATGGGGAGAAGAGGCAGTTCCCCAGCTCCCCCACCTCGTGCAGCTGCAGGGAAATGAGAAGGAAAGGGGGAAGTCCCCTGGCCAAGTATCATTTTAATTGATGTTTCCCCACTTTCCCACCTGGCCAGTCTTCAAAGGCCCCATGGAGCTTTGGCAGAAGGACTGCACCACATCCCTCCCCTCAGGAGGAGGCCCACGGGTGTCCTTGTTGGTCACGACCAGTCGCAGCACTGAGGCACCTCACGACGCAACGCATGCCAGCCCCATGTGTGCCTCATGCTGAATTCCCTCGCAGAGCCAGCCTGCCCCGGCCCACGCTTGGCTCTCCCACTGCCACGGGCACGCTGGGTGGCCAGCGGCACTTCGCCAGCGGGAACACGCGCCACTGTGGGGGGGCAGCGCTGGGGCTGGGTGGCAGGGAGAGCTTAGGCTGTTTCTGGCGGTTGCGTTCACCCGCCTGGAGCTGAGGGAGCAGCCTACGTGGGTGACGCGATGCGCCTGCCCTGGGCCCTGAAAACAAAGGGCTCCGGCTCTTGCGCTGCTCGCAGATAAACCTTCTCTGGCAGTGACAGAGCTGCTGCTCATGAGCATCTAGTGCTCTTCTGATCCCTGCAGTCCCCTCCTAAAAGAGGGAAACAGAGAAGGCAGCTCTTCAAGCCTCTTGATTATTCAGACAAGGCTAAAAATAAAATTAATGATCCCTCTGCCTGAATTTTATGAAGGCAGAACTCAGATCACTGCCTCTCCCTCAGTATTGAAGGTTGTTATTAAATCCCAAGCCCAAAATATGTCTTTCTGTAATATTGAGCCCTTTAGCAGCGCCAACTCAGCATTTTGGGGCTGCTCCCTTAGATTGTTGTGCATGAGCTTATTGCCACCCATTTCCTGTACAATCCATGGGCTCGGGCTACAGTGCTGGGGGGCCTCAGTTTTGCGTCTTTGAAAATCCGGGGAGGGAAGGGTTAACGGGGC